CTCGACTGTACATGTAAGTTTTCACTTTTTCATTTAAGAATTTTTGATTTTACTTTTATATAAATTTTGGAAATTAGAATTTCACATATATTTTTTCTTATAGGGTCGCTTCACAGCTGAAGTGGAGCAATTCATACGCAGTCCGCCACCTAATGAGTCCGGCGCGCCAATCCAACTATCGGACGAGGATACTGAGAGAATGTGGACGCAGGCTGCTGGCGGTCCAAAAGGGGAAAAGGTATACGGGCTTCCTAATAAGAAATTCCATCGCTATAAGTCTGGAATGCAAGGAATAGGGACTTCCTCCCAAGCCGAGCAACTTGATGGGGAGAGCCTCTCCTCTATGCGGGAGATTGTGGCAAAGCTCACATCCGAGCTAGAAGCCGCCAAGGAGAGAGAAAGGCTTAGAGATATGCAGTACTCTGGCATGCAAGCTCAGTGCAAGGGCATGCAAGAGCAGATCAAAACTCTCCTAGCTTCTGGCAATTTTCCAATTCCTCGGTCTCGTGAGTCATCGCCAGAGGCTCGCCTTCCCCATGCTCATTCCTCCCGTCCTCCCCGTGGTCATTCTTCCCATCATCGACAAATAGCCCATTCTAGATACCGTCATGGTGAAGAAAGTTCATCAGACGGTGATGATAATGATGTAGAGAACAATCTTTGAACTTATTAGTTTATGCTAGACAAATACAATTGGTTTTCGAATGGTTTTGTAATAACATTTAACTTATTAGTTTGCTAATTAGCTTAAAGTATAAAGTTCTATTGAACTTTATACTTTGTTCGTTATAATTGTTGTTGTTGTTGTTGTTGTTGTTGCTTGTTGTTGCTGTTGTTGGCATATTTGCCTATTTAGGAATTTTGGTAAGCTGGCAGGTGGTGTAGCTGCCAAAAGAGGCAGTTCCTGCCAGCAATATACCAAGAAAAGCGACCAACTTTGGTCGCTATTTGGTCGAATTTCTATTAAAAAAAAACAATTTTCTGTGAAATAGCAACCAAGGTTGGTTGCTATTTAACCCAGATTTCCCAAAAAGCGACCAAGATTGGTCGCTATTTACCAGAAAATTAATAATTTCTGGAAATATGGCGACCAGGGTTGGTCGCTTATTAATAAATAAAAAAATTAATTCATGTATTTAGCGACCAATTTTGGTCGCTTATTTAAAAAAAATAATAAAAAAATTTATAGTATAGCGACCAACTTTGGTCGCAATTTTCCAGATTTTAAAATATAATATTTCGTATACAGACCAAAGTTGGTCGCTACTTTATAATTAATAATAAATAAAAAAAAAATGAAATTTACACAAATGAGACCAACTTTGGTCGCAAAATTTATAATATTAAAATAATATAGCGACCAAAGTTGGTCGCCAGTGTCTTTACCGCAATATTTGGTCCTTTGACTTGAGAGACCAAAGTTGGTCGCTAATTAGCGACCAACTTTGGTCCCTAAGGTAAAGGGACCAGCTTAACATCGACCAGGCACGTTTGGTCGCTTTTTGGTCGCTTTTTGGCCAATAAGCTACTAACACTGGTCGCTTTTTGTGGTCGTTTTTTTCCGTATTTCTAGTAGTGATAGTTTACAAAACAGTATACCGCTACAGTATACTAATATGCTATAGGAGTATATAGTTATACTGCAACAAT